AGCCAGAGGATCACAGTTCGCAGTCGCTGGTCCTCGGCTGTATGATCCTGGCGTGTTGGTTCCTCTCTCAGGACCTCCATTTCCTCACTCCTTCGTCTGTCACATAAGGTACCGGGGCATGTGCTCCTTTGAAAAACTCTGATAAAAGCTGTGGATCCTCGCCCCAGACAAAATGTCTTTTCACTACTGCTCAGAAATGATTGTCTGCAACTTCATGAGACTTCAGGGGACTAAGAGCCCCAGGGTTAGATAATCCCTAAGACTTTGAGCCTCAAAGTGTAGCTGCCCCAGATGACTGAACCAGTAGGTGGCTTTGACCAGATCTCCTAGTGATCCATGTGCATAAGGCAGTGTGAGAATCTAAGGGTCTTTCAGCTATAAAAGACTCCGTGTGACTTCTAGTCACAGGACCTGCCCTGGACAGCAGTTCCTATCGGCATTTCACAAGGGGTAGGCTAAAGAAATCCTCTGTATTAGTGTCCTGTGGCTGCCATTACAAGTGACTACAAACTTGGTGGCCTAAAACAACAGGAATTTATACTCTCTGATCTGGAAGCCAGAAGTCTGAAATCAAAGTGTCACAGGGCCACGCTCCCTCTGGAGGGACTCAGGGGAGGGTCCTTCCTGCCTCTTCCAATTTCTGGTGGCTCCAGGTGTTCCTTGGCTTGTAGTAACTTGGTGGCTCACATCATGTTCCCATTTGACAGTGCTGGTCTAGAGGCTTGAATACCTTCTAGTTCACTTTGGGTTTTTCCCAGACATATTTGGTGGGTGGTGCTGCATGGAACACCTATTACATCACTTCCGGCACGATGTCTGTCACGGTCAGTGACGTCGAGATGGATCATTTGGGTAAATTTCGTGTTATGCATATTTCATCACGAGGATAGAATAATAATAATAATAAAGGCTGGTCATTCATTTCACCTGCTGCCACGTGACCCATCATTGTGACCTCCTCCCCTGCTCATTTTAATGGCCATTGATGAGCACCACTTAGATCCATTATTTTATTAGAAGTCGCAAAACAGTGATTTCCTCACTAATTCTATCATTTCTCCTGCATTTATGAGCTCAGGTCCTTCTATAAAGAACTTTCCCTCATCACCTATTTGGTTACCCTGAAATGCTGTTTGTACAGGAAAGGCAGAGATGCTTGATCATTTATTTCAGAACAATGCTTTCATGGTCTAGCAACCTCTAGGCAGATCAAGGAGGTTTTCCTTTCCTCCCACCAGTATTATATACACATATACAAACATGCAGGGCTGGCCGGTAAGCTCAGCTGGTGAGAGCACAATGTTGTAATGCCAAGGTCAAGGATTAGGATCCCTGTACCAGCCAGCTGCAAAAAAGAGAACAAAAAAACCCCAAAACATACGTATACGTATGTAATATATTTCAACTCAAGGCAGTCATTATTGTCCCTATGCTCAGATTGTCCTGTCTTTGGCCCTTCAGGCTGGCCCCTGTGACCTGTGTCCACAGCCTGGACACTACAGGTACTCATGGCTATTGGGTTGTGATCACTTCGAGACCTTTTCAGTGGACAGAGACAGGAAATGCATTATTTTTTAGAAAGAGGAAATCTAAGGAGTTCAGGGTCGTTTTTCTTTACTTTTCTGATTTTATATTTATATTTCTTTTCTCTTATACTGAAAATCTTATTCCCTAATGGCATTTACTAATCAGTACTAAATCATTACTAATTTGCTTTATCCTACAATGTATATATAATAATTGCAAAATAGCAATATTAATATTATTAATAACAATGAAAGCAGCTTCAGACTTCCCCACGGTTCTTTCTGTCCTCGGGATATATTACACTAGGGATATTCTACCCAAATCTCTTTTAAAGTCTCTTAACATAATTCTCTGTGGTTACGCCCCAACCTGACATATTGTCAGGTTCATTCGCTCCTACTGTGGTTATTTGGGGCAGTTGCTAATTTTTTCTCTTTAACGTTGGTATAATTATTTTTGAAAAACACCTTTTACATGGCTCCAAAGTCAAAACTGTCACGCAAAGTCTATTCAAAGGATTCCAGGTTTCCTCTCTGTCACTTTCTTCTTGTCTCTCCCTCATCCTGTAGGTACCTATTCTTAGTAAAGTTTGATTTATCTTTCATTTTTTCCTTTTGAAAATAAAAATACATATATATGTACCACATATAATATGTATTATTTTATATATGCATCATATCGCATGTAACATGAATCGTATATATGACATGTGTCCTGTCTATCTATCTGTGGGGTATCCTATGGGATTGGTTTGGCTTTCTCTGGTTGGTCCCAAGTTGGAAGTGGGGACAAAACTTAGGGCAGCTGTCAGTTACTAATCAAGTCCTGGCCATCTGGGGCCAATTGTTACAGGCGTTATTGTTTGCCTTCCTGGATGGTTGGTGGAGACAGCAGTCGGACCTCCTCCAAGCATGACATAGCAGGCTGGCTTCGTGGGCTGGGTCGTGCAGAAAATGGGCTGGTTTCCTAGGCTGGTTGCTGCAGATTGTGGGTCAGAGTTCTGTTTTTATGTGCAGTCCAGCCATCGTCCACCCGGGTATTCAGTCTCTCAACCTGCTTAAAGATTAGGCCCCGCCTGGGAGCGGCTGGCTTTTCCTTGTGAGGACGTGAATTCTGTGTTGCTGCAGAGCCTTGTGGCTAAGCAGGTCAGATGCATAGCGTTGCCCCCCACTGCGCTGGGCCCTCACCCCTCACCTTGGAGATGGGGGTGATAATACTGTTGTCCTCGCTTTATGATATTGTGAAGGGGTGGGACATGCAAAATGCTCAGCACGGGCAGTGCTCCTGGGCTGGCAATTGCCATCAAAGAGAACCGGAGTGGGACACTAGTTAAAGGTGGTGAACACAGATTGTATTCAGTTATATTGCAAACGGGGAAAGAGACTTCAGTATAGAATTGAGATCAATTCCGAATAAAATGCAAGGAGCAGAGTGAAGGGCCAGTGAGTGGAAAGTTACCGAGAGGAGCCATCAGGGACAGGGAGATCCTGGCTAACAGGAGGCCACGGTCATCAGATGTCATGTGTGGGGTTGAGGACCTTGCTCAGCTGTCAAGGGTCATCAGATATTAAGGATAGGGGATCAACTCAGCAGAACACTTTGCTGAGACTGGCTTCAGAAGGCCAAGGACAGGGCCCAAGGACAAGGCCTAGTCGAAAACAGGGCTCCAAGGAGCCTGCAGAAGGTTTGGTCAAGGAGGGAGTCTGTGTCACCAGCTCAGGCCTAGCGCCCGAGGCATGCAGTCCAAGCTTGTTGGATGGCCCAGCTGAGGGCTCTGTTTCTTTCAAAACCTTTGAGGGCTGGGAGAGAACGTTTCACAGCTGTGGGGAGAGCGATTTTCTCTGAGCCCCAACAGCTAGGCAGGCGCCCTGGGGGAAGCATGTGCCCCACTGGCCTTCCCAAAGCTTCAAGCCCTGTCTGGACGTCTTCCCCGCAGGCCTTCGACACCCTTCTTTGACCTGCTGCAGCACCAGTACCAGAAGCTGTGGGTGCAGGAACAAAAGGCCGCCCAGAAAGCCATTAAGATGGAGAAAAAACACAAGGTAAACACAGCCCTCACCCCTGAGTGACCCATCGTTGGGGTGGGAGCAGAGAGAAGGGCGCTGGGGCCCCAGCTCCTAGACTGGCCTTTGTCTGCGCTTGTCCTTGGGGGTGGGGGTGGGGAATTGCAGACGTTCAGAGCTGGGCAGTCTTGATGTCCAGTTCAGCCCCTGCTTAAGCTACGAGAATGTAAGAGGCAGGTCGGGTCAGCAGTCGGTCAGCCCCGTGTGCCTCTGAGCTGGGCTGTCCTGATTCCTGTCTGGGGACTCTTGCCACTAAACCTCCTCACAACTTCACACACCCGAAAATCAGATTTTAAACTCATCCTACCTGGCCTAGAGAGAAGCGTGCCCTGTGCCAACGTTAGGGCCCAGAAGGTGATACCCTAAAGTGAGGGCCTCAGGAGCAGCCTCAGCAGCAAGCTTTCCCCTGACCTTCTCCTGTCCTCCTGTCTCTCAGCCTCATTGTCCCCTGAGGCAAGCCATAGAAACTAGAGTCCCTCTTCCCCAAGGCTGGTCATGGAAACACACTTCTCCCCTGCCTCTCTGTCTTGGAGCTGGCCATAAAGAAATTCTCTGACCTACCTTGTTGGATCGTAGGTCATAAGACCCCCATTCCAGAAAGGGTCATGCCCCACACCCTGGAGAACGAATGCTCCGCAGACAGGCCGAGAAGGATCTGGACAGACAGGCCCTGCCTGGATTCCCCACTCAGTCTATTAACATCAGATCACACGTTTTTTGTCCAATCACATTTCTACACAGATGTGCCTGTGCCATGTAAAAACTATGACATGATAAATTTGTTATGCCTTTTCTTCATATTAATCTGTGTTTATCAGGCAATTTTTCAGAGAACCTTC